AGAAGATTACAAGACACCAAACAAGCAAAGACATCTGTAATGAGTGGCCAAGGGATTCCAGTTCTGCTGATGCAGACAGTCTGGCAGGGAGTCTTCTGTCTTTCGGGGGCATTGCCCTGGCACTGAAGGTGAGACACGTCTGCACTCACCAACCTTACGTCAACACCCTATAATTTACTTTTTGATAACATACTCTTGTTTGGTGCTAAGTTTTGTGTAGGTTAGTCTCTAGTAGACTTCACCTCTTCAAGGATGTGAACTGGGTGTCTCTTTATTACATATCTGCTGCAGAGTCTAGCACAGCTGCAAGTTCAGTATTACTTAGTTAATATTCCCTGATTTCATTTAGCTAAAAGATCTTTTAATATAAGGTAAGGGGAAGGATCCAATGGGACAGCAAGACATTAGTTTATTATCTACCCAATCAGGTACACGTAGCTTTTTTGCCCGACCTCCAGGTCACCTATGGAGCCCAACTACGACAAAGGCCAAACCTGGGTGTTGCATGTGGAGAATCCAGTTCCCAGACCAGGGCACTGGACTTCTTGGACAGCCCTGATTTCAGTGGTCAGAATGTTGGATGTTGGGCTTTGGGCAGAAAACGTGGAAATCCAGGCAGGAAATGTGGAAATCCAGCCTTTTATCCACTGCGTGGTGAATCGGTTTATGCTTCTGTGGTTTCTCAGGCTTTGTGCCAATTAAAATGCAGTCCTGATTGAGTCCAAAAACAGGGATCAGTGAGCATGTTTTACTAAAACATATGCTTAATGGCTCATATCTATATTGTCAATGGCACTTTTTCTGGTGGCCAGGGAACAAAGGCAATTTACTAATTGGAGCTTCTTGCTTGCTATTCTCTTTGTCCAGTGTTTGCTTTTTCTGGTACTTATACCCTGCTCTTTGTGGCTCGAACCCTTCAAGGCATTGGATCTTCATTTTCATCTGTTGCAGGTAATGCTGACATCTTACACACACACACATGCACGTGCACACACACACACACACACACACACACACACATGCATACACCACCTCTCTTATCATCTCTTACTACCTTCAGACCCTATAAGATTTACATGAAGAAATTAAGGAAAATATCCTAAGAGGCAGGAATTGTGATTCAAAAACAAGATAATTGTAGAGTTGCTGGCGTGTCTGTAAGTTCCTGACTTAACTTCCTCTGG